CTGTTAGTGGAACAGGCAAGAATTCAATTTGTTTCATAGCTTTAGCACTTACGGTAACAACCATGAAATCCAAAACCGTAACTCCCAACTGAACATGTGTCACAGCAGCGGCCAAAAACATTAGGCTTGCATTGACACTGGCCTCCCAGCTTACTGCAGTTGGAGCTCAGTGACCCCTGAGGATGGCACCTGCATGCTGTTGGCAAGAAGAATTAAAAATACAGGTTATTCCTTAAAAAGAAAGACAACACAAACATCAGGTTTACTGTGCTCAGACTTTTAGAGATATTACCTTAAAATGTTACCAGAGATGGGCTTAAGAAAATAAAACAGAGCCTGAGGACCTCACACAGAGTGCGTCTACATGTGCAATTAATGCACTGGAATTTACTGCACAGTAAATTCAGGCTCATTAAACTGCTCCTGGGTGCACAGTTACACATGTGCCTGGTTCGGGAGCAAAATGAGTCCAACAGGAGCAGCCTAGTCCAGGACTGCTCCTGCCGTGCTCTGCCCCCTCAGCAGCAGCCAGGGAGAGCTCCAGACTCCCCCAGGTGCCAGCTCCAGGCTGGCGAAGGGGACTTGGGGCAGTTTTGGGTGGAGCAGAGTTCCACACTGGTGTGCCTCCAGGCCTGCTGCCCCCTGTACATTTACCATGCCAGTGCAGAGCTGCACCCAGTGCACCTGCAAAGTTCTTGGCAGGCAAGGGGCAGGCAAGCACTTGTGTGCCCAGTCCACGCTTCCCTGTGCCTGCCTGCTCCTTGCTTTCTGCCTGGGAACTCTGCAGGTGCACTGGGCGCAGCACCACACCAGTGTGGTAAGCATGTAGGGGCAGCAGGCCTGGAGGCACCACAGTGCAGACCCTTGCTCCACAGGACCCTCAGAGCCAGGCACGTCTGGTGACAGGTTGGGCCTGCCTCTGCCATTATACTACAGGGGAACAGCGGCCTGGACAGCCCAGCCAGGGACAGGATCGGTTGCTCAGCATGGTCCCTGGTGCCCTGCATCTCCCCCTCGGACACACACCGCAAGGAAACTCTGGGCCCCACTGCCACTGCCCCCCCACCCCCACCCCACCGGGGGCTAGGAGCTGTCCCTGGAGCCAGGGAGCAGCTTGGCCCCGTGCTGCCTGGGCTGACTGGTGTGTGGACAGCTTTAAGAGTGTTATGTATAGGTTGTTACATTTGCCTGGAGATTGCAGGAAGGAACAGCAGAACTGCAGGCAAGCTTTATTGTTCTATAAGCTTAACTCCTTGGTCTTTGGAGAACAATACAACCAGGAGCAATTTGCTCCCGGTCAGCCTCTACACTTGTGGTATGGCACACTAGTTTAATACACTGTTTTTTAGTACCTTTATCTATCGGTACTAGCAAACCGCATTAGACTAATCTAATGCACAGTCATTGTTGCACACTTATAGACAGTGATGCTTTACTGTGCATTAGATTAATCTAATGTGCAGCAAAGCATCTTGTGTAGACACACCTACAATGGGACTGGTTGCCACCCAATCATGGGGTTTGGACTATCTGATAATGTTATGCCAGTAATGATCTTATATGAATCATCAGCACAGCTTCAAAATTCAGATTTGGATTTGAATAGGTGAAGGTATTACCTCAGTCCATTGTGGGAACAATAAAGGATATAAAATTTGGATCCAAGTACAAATATCCTTAAAGTCTGAGGTATTTGCTTTGGCCCTATCTGTATCTACTACATACGGAAGAGTGATTTGCTAATGTTTGAACAGGCTCATCCATTTAGGGATATTATCATCCAATAGTTGGTGGTTTAGATTCAGCTACCCATTCCCATGCTTATTTGTAATGCTACAAGAACAGCAAATTTAACAGTGGACAGTAATTTAGGGGTGTTTATAATAGTTGCAGAACTATAATAATAATTACACCTCTTGTAGTAATTCTACTTTTGGTCTTGGCTAAAGCCAGTTTTCCTGTCAGTTAGATAAATTGTTTGTATGAGAATTAAGTACATGCAACTACGCTGAATTTTTCAGGTGGTTGAAACAATTTTCTGGTTCATTTTGAGGAATGAATAATATTTTATGGCAATCTGAACTGGTCTGTTCAGTCTAATTTGTAAGACATTTGTTTGCAGCACAGGAAGTACTTTTCCATGTGCTGAGCATGTCAGGTTAAATGATTATTTGTAGGCATTTTTGCAGCACCTGCTAGCAGCCAAGCATATTAAGAATTTCTGTTTCACTTCAAATTTATTTGAGTCTGCTGGTCTGCTGCCAAAGTGGGACACAGAACAGTGTGGGTGAAAGGTTGGTCGCCTGGCTCCATTCTTCTAGTTCCAATCTTAAATCTTGATCCTGAGATTGTTTACATACATATATGCCAAGCGTTACTAATTTGAGTAATCCTATGGAAATCAGTGGAACTACTCAAGTAACAAAGTTAAGGAGAGATGTGTTTGCAGAATCCAGGATTACTCCAGTGTAATTGTTACTGATTTTTTACAATAAAAATATAAAGTTCTGGGAAATGAATCCCAATGGAAAAGTGAAATATCAGATTTTCCAAATCATATTTTTGGCAAGACTTTAGGAAAGGATAATGTAATTACTGTTCTCTATGAAACAATGGCTCTTTTAAATGTTAGAATGTAATTAACACTTTTTACCTGGAGGAGTCAAGAAAGGGGCAAGAAGTAAAACCAAAAGAATTTAAATGAATAGGCTAATTTAAGTGCAATTCACAGACTAGGAAATTCACAACTGGAAAGCCAGGGACAAGTTTCAATGTATGACTGGTATTAGACTAGCTTTTCTGGAGGTTGGAGAAAAAAGCCCAGAGGTAAGTGAAGAGTCAGGGGACCTAGATAAAAACTTAGTAAGGGGAAGCAATAGCAAAAGCCTTAGCAATGTTCTGGGGGGAGAAGACAGGACAATCAGTTAGACACCTGAAATGTTTATATACTAAGGTGAGAAGGGAAACAGACAGGAATAACTGGAGGTCCTAGTACAATCACAGAATTATGATGTAATTGGGATTAGGGAGATGTGGTGGGATAGTTCACATGACTGGAATATAGTCACATATGGGTATAGCTTGTTCAGAAAGTATAGGCAGGGAAAAAAAGAGAAGCTATTTCCATACATATATAAGCAATATACCTTTGTTCTTGAGGTACAACATGAAGCAGAAGGTAGGCCTGTTGAAAGCAGTTGTGTAAAGGCCAGAGAGGAGGATGTCAGGGGGTGGGGATGTCATGGACATCTGTTACAGGCCACCAAACCAGAAGGAGGAAGAGGCCTATTTTAAACAATTGATGGAAGCTTCCAAATCACCGAACCTGGTTCTCATGAGAGACTTTAATTATCAGAACATTTGCTGAGAGGGAAAAGAGCAGAGCACAAGCAATCCAGCAGATGCTTAGAGCGTGTTGGGGATAACTTTCATGCATATGGTAGACAGGCCAGCCGGGGGGGGGGGGGGGGGTTTTTTGTTTTGCTCCCCAAAAAGG